CCAACAAGATTATGATTCTAATAATGATTACTCTTAAAAAGCTGATGCGCTGCTCTAACAAAAAAACTCCTATAAACGGCCTAATTGATTTTCTTCGTCAGTTTTTATTTCAATGTGATTTGTCGGTTTTGTTTTGATTGAAAAGACTACACTAATTTCACACACATTCGACCAAGTTCAACAAAAATGTTAATCTATAGTTTGTTTAAACTAAACAAAGAGCAATGAAGAAAAATTTCATTGCCCAGAGTTCTCATTAACCATTTTGTACGTACAGATATTGTAATGGTTCTTAGAATTTTTGAATAATTTATTATTGCATCAAAACACAAAATATTCATTAACAACTAAAAACTAACCATTCTGTCTTTTTTACAAAAATTCTTTTTATTTACTTTTTAATTCACCAAAACTAAAATCAATTTGAAGAAACAATATTTTCCGTAAATCTTTTGGTTTTAGATCATTGAACGATAAAGAAAATGTCTTTTTATAAAAAGAAATTAAGAAAAACTCCTGAAAATAAAACAGATATTACATTTATTCTTAAAAATACATGTTATAAAATGTAAATAAATTTTTATAACTAATCAATTCTTTCAAATTTTATCGAAAAATTTTTGAATAAAAATATTTATTTCAAAATTAATTATGTATTCTTTTCCATCTATTTAATAAAAAATTTTATTTCAAGAATAAATGTTACATTTATTTCATTTTTTTAATTTCAGTTTAAAATACAAAAAGATTTAGTTCATCCGATAAAATTTGATTTTATTTAGCAAAACATTTTTAATTAACGAATAAAATCAAATTTTTGGATTCGATTGTGCTCAGGATCAGCGACATAAAGATTATTTTCAAGATCCAATGATAAATCACTAGGAAAAAATTTATTTGTTTTAATTCTTTTATCAGTTTTACCAATAACAATTGAACCATTCTTGCCATTTTTACGCCAACCCATCACTCGAGAATTTAAATAGTCAGCGACGTAGATTTCACCCGAACCACCAACAATCACTCCTTGAGGATGTGACAATTGTTCGAGATTATCTCCTTGACCATTTCCACCAGCAACAACGATTCCTTCGTTCTCACCTATTTTCCATTTCATCACACGATGATTTCTCGTATCGGACACATAAAGAGAATAATCGTCATCAACAAAGATATAAGTAGGAAAATTAAGTTGATTGGAATTATTTCCTCTTCCATTTCCTCCTGCAACTATTGTTCCATTTATATCTCTTTCTTTCCATTGTCTTACTTCGTTTTTCATCCAATCAGAAACATATATGGATCTATTTTTATCCATTGCAAGATCATAACAGTGAATATTAGGAATAAGAATTTGTTGATTTGTTTTATTTTGTTTTGACAATCGAATCACTCGGCTGTTCATAGAATCACAAATGATCAAAGAGCTATTTTGTATGTCATTAATTATGCCTATTGGACAACTCAACTGATCAGTTCCATGTCCAAAACCATTACCACCTAAAATAATTTGGCCATTTCTTCCATTAGGTCTCCATTGAATAATACGATGATTGAAATAATCAGCAATATAAATTGTAGTATCATTAGCAATAAAGATTCCTCGAGGACCATCGAGCTGATTTAATTGGTCTCCTATTCCATTTCCTCCAGCAACTGTAACTCCATCTTGTTTCCATTTCATTAGTGGATCTAAAATTGTAGAAAATATATTCATATAAAGCTTATGAAACCGAAAACACATTTTACTGAATAAAACTCTAGAACTTATAGTAACTTGCTATAAAATAGAGTAAGATGTTTTGAGACATCAGCATAATCAACACTCTACAGAATGTCTTTTCGGGCAAGTTCACGTTCCTTACCGAACAAGAACCTTGATATTCCTAATTCATATCTTAGTGACTTTACAGTAATAGTAATTTAATGTGAGTGTGTTAGAAATTATGCACTAGTAAAAGAAAAGTTTTTAAAGCAACCTCAAGAACTATAGAATTTTGCAGCTAAGTTGTGTTTTAATGTTTAATCAATAAAATAGGGTTTTCTAAACACAAGTGTAGATCTTTTTTAGTTATACAAACTAAGTAGTGTCGTTAATGGAATAAAACATTCGAGGAACCATCCACTATACCTTCTTGTTTACTGGAGTTTGTTGAGTTACTAATTCCTTGATTGCTCTTGTTGGCACCACTACTGTCTCTCACTGGAATCGATAAATATATCCCAAGCACCACGACAACAGGAAAGATAAATCCCAAGCAAAGGTATGGTAATATAGTTCGATTTCGAAGACCTGAAGATTCGTCAGATGTACTGCCTAAAATGTCAAGATATACTTTCGTTGACAACATTGGTTACTTGCATAGTTGTAAGTGAATGCTCTTCGAATTAGACTATTTTGAAACTGCATAGTTCCTCTATCGTGAAAAAATGCAGAAAACACTTAAAGAGTCATAGAAACTGTGTATAACGGTTTGCTTGGTGTGCAGGTTACTCATCACCTCTTCAGATAAGATTTTTGTAAAACTATGCTGACCTAACCAAATACAATACAGATACATTTTTTAAAAAATTCTCTCAATTATTTCGTGATTACCCAGACTTAAAAACCTCAAAATTCGACCATAGATAATGCT